GACACTGCAACCAAAGAGATCAAGCATTTTTATTTCCTTAACTTTTGGCTCTGGCCCTGGCTGGCTTTGGCACTCTTTATGGTTGACTGTTTCAATCACTAGCATTCCTGGTTGTGGGTGAACAAATGCTCATAATCTTTTTGAAGGACAAAGTAGCACCTCTTGTCCACTCAGACATAGGTTTAATAGAGGCTGAAGTCTACCACAGCATCTTAGTAGTGGTCTAGATGGTCTTAAGTGGTAAGGACTCTCTTGCAGGCCCTTCAGGGGTTAATATGTCCACCATGGGATCAGAGTCTTCCATGACTTCTTCAGAGGGCATACACCACAGCAGATGCTGGTGAGCACTGGAATCCAAGGATGCAGACAACAAGGATGTACCAGCCACAGCTTCATTCAGAAAAGACAAGGGTGGGATGAGGGCTTCCTGACCCTCGGGTTCCCTGGTGATGCCCTTCACTGGGAGCAAGCTTAATGGGAGTAATGATGATGGGGGCAGTGCCGGGGCTGAAGCAATCGGGGGAGGCAAGATCTGTGCCACAAATGGTACAGGAAGGGCAAGCTTGATGGGAGTAATGATGATGGGGGCAGTGCCGGTGCTGAAGCGATCGGGGAAGGCAAGATTTGTGCCACAAGTGGTACAGGAAGAGACAGCGATGCTGTGGACGGCAATGCTGAGGACACGACATGAGGTGCATAGGTCGGTGTCGCAGGCGACGGTTGGAGTAAACGGTGCCGGAACAGGAGGGAACCCTCCACGACTGACTTTCTAACTCCAGTACTACTAACAACTACACTAGAGAAGAACCACTGTTCACACAAAAATGAATGACTTGCGAAGTAAGAAGTCAGAAGCTCACTGATGGAAAAAGGGAACGGATAGGCGGCAAGTGAGCAAGGGATTATATACCGTTCCATGGAGAAGTCACTCTAGGGGTCTCTACAGCCAACCCAACAGGTACCACTAGGAAAAATCTTCTGGCAATTATGCATGCAGTGCACACTTGCACATCTTGAAATGCACATGAGCAATCACTCAAAGATCAAAAAGTATCCAAAAGTAAAGAACATGGGGATGAAAGAGATTGTGTTTAAAAAAGAAAGTCCACACCATTTAGCCAAAATACATTGACACCATTTTAAGAAGTTAGACTTACTTACGGAAATGCTAAATTCCTCCATTTTATTTATATATATAGTTTGTGTTTCTCACTTTATAAAAGGCTTCAGATCTGACATTAACATAGTATGGAATTCGGGGCCTTGGAAATTCTCCAGTAAACGAGGTATTTAATTAACACATTTTAAATTATTTTTGTCCTATTTTCGACACACAGTACCTCTAAATCATTTTGCATCAGTCTCAAGTCACTCTGTGACGTCTCTGCAGTCTTAGCACTCAGTGTTAATTCAGGCCAGTGGGAAATGGATAGTGGGATGTAGTTAATCGGATGCATTCCTCATGAAAATTTAAAGCAGCCTGCATCTATTCTGTGCAGCCAGATTCAGCTTTGCAGGAGCATAATGGAATGTTACAACAAATCCTATTATAATACAGGATCCTAACAGATATTGCCACAGCGGCATTACATCTCCCAGAGAATATCAGTTAATTACCCTTCACCAAGCAATAGAAATTTTCATTCTGATGGGTGTTTTCTTACTACAATAAGTTATCCCACTTCAGAGATCAAACCTGTAATTAGTAGATCATAATTTAGGCACATTACTTCATATTTACTCATATAGCCATAAAGAACACATCACATTTTATTATGCAATTTTGAGAGTGCGACAGTATATGAAGTGGGCTAACGTGAATTACTCTTCCTGTGCTGTATTAAATACTTTCATAGGAGACATTAATATATACCGTTAATATAAACTATTGTTTATGAAGTTTTGTTAAAAAAATCATCCATTTCAAAGCACTATGTGCGACTTTGAAATATCATTGTCCTTGTACAGTAGGTGAATGAAGCATAAGTGGTATGTGACATTCTATTTAATTTATTTATTTAAAATATTTTTACCCTGACTCTCTATTTAAAATATTGTTGACTTAGATGAAGGCACACTTCACTATAAAACTGATAGGCAAATAATTTATTGAACATGTGTTCTGAAGCTAATTTTCATGTTTTTAATGTATGTTGTGACCAAAAAAAACCCCTTACTTTTCAAAAATGTGTTTTTTCCAAAAAAAATTGCATACCCAACATTTTATTTGTTTACACTATAATATTCAGCAACTATGCTTTTAAAAAGCCTCTTTGCAGATAGCAAAGTGAAAGCACAAGTCCCATTTTAGTCTCGTGTTTTGTTCGGTCATTACACCCAGACTATCCGGATAATAAACTTGCCTATCATAATGCCCTACTCATCTAATTAAAGCTTATGTCCAATCTTTATGGAAGTTAGTCCACATCTCAAAACAGATGAAGTGTAAAATGTCAACTCTGATGAGCTGATAGATAGCAAAGAAAAACGTTCCTCAATACACAGTTGGCTGTCTGTTTCTCTTACCTAAAAAGATATCCCGGTGTCAATTCCACATTAAAATCTGACTACTTCATGAAACTATAGGTACACTTCTGTCATGAATTTCTTGTCTTCCATGGAGTTACCATGTCATCCTTGAATTTTTGTGTGTGAGACAATTTTTTTAATAGAAGCTAAGCCACATTAAAGTTAAAGGAAACGGATAAGATTCTAGCAGCTTCCACGAATGGAAAAAAGCAAAATTATAAATCGTTTGACTTACTGCAGAACATCAGTCTTTCACTAACTATGGTGCTCAGAGTGCAGGTGTTTGCATAATGGTTTCACTCGCTGACAAAGATGGCACTAGTACAGATATTAATTTTGCTCCAAGATGTAAATCAGTCACTGGTGGACACCGGTTTCCTCCTCCACTGCCTGTACCGATTTGGGGATTTACTGTGCTTTCAAGGCACAGCCCAAAGTAAGGCATGCTGTAGAATGCCCTGCACCACATGGATCACCAGGAAGCAGTCTGCCTCTGAGAAGAAAAATACCTCCTGGTTCACAGTGGGAGCTCACTACGACTACTTCCCTTTATAGGGCTGGGTCACACTCCACTTGAACTACTGAAGAGGATGGAACTGGCTCCTCCTCCTCCCGCCATTTTTGCAGCACAGTCTTCCTTAGGGAAGTAGAAAGGGGACTTTCCGAGCACAAGGAGCTCACTTCTACCTGATCCCTAAGCATCATGCCTAGCAATCCTCATGCAACTGTACATATGTGTGAGCACCAAACAAAAACTGCCTCCTTAAAATTTTAGGTTATTAAATAACTGCCTTTCAGGTACCACCACTTAGCTTCTTTCTACTGGAGCCTCTGCTATAACTTGAGGCACTGTCAAAAAAGAAGAGACTGCCCCATCTCTCATGGAAGAAGGCAGCTACAAAATAAGCATTCTACCAGTAGCAGATTACTAATATACTACTGCTGTGATTCTGGAAGTTGTCTAACAAACAGGGCATTATATATTTCCTGTAGCAATCAAATTTACTATAAATAAGCCACATATGGTGCTATAATAAAATGCCCAAAGTAGTATAAAACATTATACATGCCCAGTGTAAATTCTGAAACAAAGCTTTCATTAAGACTTTGCACCATCATTCTCTTGTTAATTCAAGTGTACACTGAATAGGAGAATATTTCGTGTTACAGTCTACACCTGTCAGCGAGGTGTGCATTATAACCACACCATAGCACATAGGCAAGAAATTCAGTAAGTTTCTTCATCACAAATATTTATTTTCCAACAAAACTATCCTTTGTCCATTTTAACAGCTTCTGTATTAGGTTGAAAATTAGAACCTGAATAAAAAAATCAGGTGTCTTCTTTAATGTCCTTCCCCCTCCTGGTTAAAACGTGTAAATGCTGTTCTCAAATCTGATCCTATTTGCTTTTATGGCATTTTTACCGTTCTTTTTATTTAACAAGACAATACTAACACTATTATACATGATAATGTAATAACAATAAAGAAAAAGTCCGATACAAAACTTTCAGGATAACCCAAGCATACACAGTTTCCTTTAAGATAGATTTTAAATCTGTCAAACTAATCTTAAAACAAATCTTAAAAATGAAGTTGATACACATAAATGCCGGCACTACACCGCATTCTGAAAATACTCTATAGTAACCAACTTCAGTTGGATTTACTAGTTGATGGTTCGCTTACTGTCCAGATAGAGTTACTAAACCTTCACATTGTAATAAAAAGATAAAGGAGGAGTTGCATATGGTAGATAAAGCATTATAAATATGCAAAAACTGAATTTTACTTTGATGTCACATTATTTCATTCATCTCTTCAATCATTTTATGTTCTTTTAACAAGGCATTTCACGCTACACTACTCTATCTTTACTTTACCTACATGTGTGAAACTAAGACTGTTCTTGTTACAGTTTTTCCTCGGTAATTAGCAAGCTACATAGTCTCTGGCAGCAAGATACTAACAAGCTCCTACAGTTTCTAGTCTAACGAGGAACCCAGAGCTACTAATAGCAGTCAAAGCATTTGAGCAAAAAAAAGGATTACAATGGCTAGTTGCAAAAGGCTGGAAATTCACCCGTATTTCAGATTAAGTCCTTTTGAGTCGATCTTTTGTAATGGATTTTGATTCAGTATTTAAACCAATTATCGATCAGAAACTAACTGGTTTTTAATTGGAAAGCTAGTTTAAATAGTAATTATATTAAGAGGGAATCTTCAAATACATGAAAGATTTTCAAATGAAAAACGCGTTAATTTTGCAAGTAACGCTTCCTTCTGAGATCAAGTTAAAAATTTCTCATTCTTCCCTTGTACTGGGACAGCGAGATAAAAACGAAACCAGACCTGCAGCTCAGTTGTGAAGTTTAGTTGCCGTGCACATCAGTAACGGTGTCACTATTACTTAGATTAAGTTTAGACATGTAGGAGAGCCAATAAACTGAACAAAGTCACACTCACTTACCTTGAGGACTTCCATTGGTACCTGGGTGGCAGGGGGCAGGTTAGAAGGGACGCTGACGTTGATGGCTGGCGTCTGACTGATCGGTACTCTCTGCTGCATGAACTGGGCTGCTTGCTGCTTCCATCTGCTCACGCATGAGCTGCTGTCGTAACAAAATCCGTGATGTCATACTGGAGGAGCTTAAGGGAGGCTTGGAAGCTCCAGGATGCTCGGAACTGCTGTGGGGAGACCAAAGCCACAGACATCTCAGTTTCCCTGGTTAGAATAATTATTTCCTACATTTTTCAGAGCTACACTAAGTGTGAAACTAAGTAGCTCTCGCACTTAAGAAAGTGAGGAGTGATACGCTGCCCGGGGTAAATTGGAATTTGGAGCTGAGCTGCTTTAGATCCTTAGAAGCTAAATGAACCTGATTACATCTAGCCATTGTTTTTAATGTTGCTCTCTAAGAGCAAGAGGGGGAATCTTTAAGGTTAATGCTCATTAACATCTAATAGAATTACGATGCTGCTACCACAGGGCTCAGCAGGATGCTGTATTTCTTTCAGAGTCCCACTTATAGCGGCCACGCTTTTATTAATTAAAAATTAAAAGAATACATTGAAATATCTTCTTAAGTCTAACAGGGCTCTATAAAACCCTTTATGTAGGCTTTGGGGGTGGGGGTCGGAGGGAGTCCCAGCATTACTGAGGCTGAATCCTGAGGCTAGAGTTCCCCTACATATCCCCTTTTCCCTGACAGCACATGGAAACCCCTCCACTCTACCTTGGTGTCCAAGAGTGGCCTTTTGCACCACATCAGATTTCTAGCAGATCTGTTAGCAGCACTTTGTTCAGGGCAAACTTCACGCCTGACAACATCAACTCACTTTTAAGAGCACTAGAAGGCATGGGATGTGGGTGCAGGGAGGGCAACCAATAGCTTGTAAAGGACCCATGCTAGGCAGGGCAGAGCAGAGTATGTGGGAGGAGCTATTTGAAGAGGACACGCTATTACTTTTTTTCCTTAACGGCAGAGCAGAGTATGTGGGAGGAGCTATTTGAAGAGGACACACTATTACTTTTTTTCCTTAAGTGGCACAATCAGAAGTGTAAAAAGGAAGACTCAGTGCAGGTTAACATTACATAACCTGTTCATTTTATATCCCGTCTACTAGGGGCTGCGATAGTCCAACAGATACTTGACCAAGGACAGCTTTGGCGGAGGATAAGAACGTTTTTGGTTTGCTCCCATTTTGATCACTTCATAGATGCTACTTTTTAAAATAATCAAACAAAATGTAATAGAAAATATTTTTATTTGAGCAGATTTTTTCTAACTATTGTCCTGTATATTTAGGATGCGCTACAGTTACTACAGTCACACTGAAGAGTTAATACCCTTCTAAACTGGGACTCTCTGGTCCAGCAGCATCCATGGTCTGGCCCACAAGTGTTCCTGGACCAAAGAGCCCTGGTAGCAGGAGAGACAGCAGCTGGGAGCCCAGCATGGCCAATGGCAGGCAGCCCTGCCAGGATGGCAGCAGCAAAGCGAGCAGCCCTGCTAGGACCAGAAACAACAGTAGTGGGTCAGAGACAGGGGTGCTGGCATTGAACTCCTCCGATCCAGCAAACTCTCTCGTTCGGGACGAATGAGGTCCCAAGAGTGCTGGACCAGGGTGGTCCAATCTGTAGTAGATTATGTGCATTTTGCAGCAGTAGCTTAAGTAGTATGTGGGTACAGATGATTAAATCTGTTTAAAGTGGTTATAGGCCACCTAATGTCCTCCTGCATGCTACAACAATCTACACTAGCCTATTAATCATTCATTAAAATCAGCACCTTAATTATAAAAATGACCATTATTTCTATGGTCTTTCATCCAAGAACCACCCAAAATAATTTTAAACCACTGAGCAGCACATCTGGACAATGTAGGCAAGTGCATTTTGTAGATGGTTAAAACTACTCAGAACAGATAATGAAAAAAACGTTACAGAAAAAAATGCCCCCACGCAAGACACACACCCTGAGCACCGACAAGGCTATGTGTTGCTGAAACCTGCAACTTCCAGCTGATCGGTGTAGAATCAAACTCACAACGTATGCTGAGTTCATACAGTAGGGCAGACTTTCAAAAGCCATAACTCTTCTCCCATTGAAGTCAGAAACAAAGACTACATCTAGACTGCAGAGTTTTTGCACAAAAACAACTGTTTTTGAGCAAAAACTCGTGGAGCGTCCACACCTCAAGCGTGTTTTGGAGCAAGTAAATCGACAGAATGGAGGGGGTTTTGCACAAGAGTTATTCCTCTTTCTACGAGGAATAACTCCTTTTTGTGCAAGAGCTCTTACACAAAAAAGGTGTGTGGGGATGGGGAACTGCCTCTTTTTGCGCAAAAAAACCCCTATCTTAAAAAGCACAGGTACCCTGGTGGCCAGTCTGTGAATGGCTATTAGTGCTTTCTTTTGAGAGCAGTCTGGACGCTCTCTTGTGCAAAAGCGCATTGCTTTTTCAATGTGCTTTTGCAGTGTGGATGTTCTCTTGCACAAGAAGTTTTTGCGAAAGATCTCTTCCGCAAAAAGCTTCTTGCACAAGAAGCCTGTAGTGTAGACATAGCCAAAGAGCACCACATCAGTTGTGTCTGACTTCCCCCAACACCTCCCAACAGAAATCTCTGCTGCAAAACGCATCTTTCTTATTAGATTACATGTTAAACAGCATTAATCACATAAAAAGTAAATGGCATTATGCCTATTCAAATTTAAATATAGGATGCTTATTTGCATCACTTGCGTTCATGTGACAGGAACTACATTAACATGGTAAAGTGAATCCATTCCAGTAAAGTGGCACGGTTGCACAGGTAAAGGGGCACATTTTCAGAATGGCTCAGCACCTAACCACTCCCATTGAAAAATCTGATGATCAACACCCAATAATTCCTTTGGCTCGCCATAGGAGTTGAGCTCTTTAGCAAATCTGGCGAGTCATGCTCAGAACAGGCATGTTACAATTAAATTGTTCACAGTAGGAATAAAAAGAGAAAGGGGATATTGTGTTTGAAAAAAAAAATCCAACCCAGATTTTCCAGAACACACAATCTTATTTTCCTTTAAAACAAGGCGGTAGGTGGGGGAAAGAGACTGTCTTGCTATTTAAGGCCTGTCAGGTTGAAACATTCCCAGAGAGACTGATCCTTTTGATAAAACAAGAGAAAACCTTTGTGGTGAAACTAATGCAGCTGTGGAATAATCGTACTAATTAGCTGCTCAAGACAAGTCATTGACTGTGATACTCACAAAAAAGAGTCTTTCAATTAACAGTGAAGTATTCTCACATCCTAAACCCATCCCAGTGTTCTCTAACTTTGCTGAAGTTTGGAAGAGCTTATAAAAGACATTCACACGTTTCCAAACTGCAGAGATGTTCTATTCAAATGGCTGCTTACTAAAATAGCTATAGGTTAGAGCTGAAATATCATTTGTTAACTTCCTGCAAAAAGAAACAAAACAGATCATTCCCACTCCCACTCAAGCCAAAGGAAGTTTTATTAAGGTTTACAGACATGCTCGGCAGAGATTAACAGTACACATGAAGTTTAGAGAATTGATAATCCAGCCCAATCCCTCCTCAAATAAGTTATCCCTCTATTTTCAAATGCCACTAGAGGGTCTGGGGGGTGGGGGAGGCAATAAAGGAGCCCTCAAGTACAGATCAGGGCTACGTGAAGATCAGCACAGTAGGGCGTTTTCATAAAGAAGCCCTGACAGCAACTTCTCCTCATTTATGGCAACAAGGCTAGCCCTAGGACCTGCACTGCTCTCAGATATGGCACCCTGCCATGTGGGGAGACAGTCTCTACTCTGACATTTTTTTCAATGGGTAGAAGAGCAGGCCCACTGTCTTTAATGGCAATTCATTTAACAACTCTTCAATATTCCTCTGCCATGAGTGCAGAAGACTGGACTACACAAACTCTCAAGTTCCCTTCAAATCCAGCGATTCTACGATCCTATGAATTTGTGTTTTTTTTTTTTTTTTTAATATTGAGTTTTTCCTCAGAAAGATCACCTGCTATCTAACTTAGCCGATCTCGGACTATAAGCCTGTTGATCTTACAGGTCTTTTCAACGTTCTGGTCTGCTGAAAGTACAGAGTTGGGTGCGATTGACTTGGCAATAGAAGATCTAAGAGTACACTCCTCACACAAATGCCATAAAGTAAAAAAAGGAGCCTGACCTTTTACACATCCAAAATACCAGATCTGGGGGGAGCTGGACGAGAGGGAAAGAATAAACTTCTGATATTACAGAACGTTCTGTTCAGCTTTAATACTTAGAAGAAGCCAGAAACAAATTATTTAGCAGCAAAAGAATTCAGTGAGCTAAGCAGAGGTGTAGCTCAGTTTTTATTCATGCACAAACTGGTTACATAATGGAGACAGTCAGTATAGTTTAGTTGCTCCTAAAATTGACAATATTCTGTTAGCGAGCAAACACCATACCCCTCTCACTGAAATGGAAGCTCTCAAGTTGAGACGCTTTCTGCTCTGACCCCCTTTTGCAGTTGAGTAACATGGGCCAGCATGAAACTTACGAGAGAAAAATACTCCATTTTAAGTCTACTTTCTTTAGTAAAACGAGTGACAGTTTGGGAGTTAGGGGGAGCTGTGGCGAGAGGAACACACACTTGCCCTCCTCGCATTTGTTCTACAGACAGTTATGTACTCACAAAAAAGGGACTAAAACTGGTCAAACCTAGAGTTTACAGACTAGAGGTTCTTGCCTCTGCCTTGTTGCATTACAATTGCTTTATCATCCTTCAGGGCTCCACAGGACCTCATAGATCCTCTGCATCCACACAGGTGATGTGTACCCATGGAAGGAAAAATTACATCAGGGAATCAGCTGTTCTTCCTTCTGCAAAGAGGAGACGTCAGTGACAGATGCAGCTGGTAGGGGCTACATGGAATGAGGACTTCCTTTGGCCCCCTAGACTGTCATGCGGTAGGGAGAAGGAGAAGAGCTTTTAAAAGGGGATGGTTGACATTCTCATTTGTTCCCTTTTCTTCATCAGTACAAAGAGGCAGAGTTTTCCCTTCCCTGAATTGTCGCAGCCAGGCAAATGGGGCAGCTAGCGAAGAGAGGGACAATTTTGAGTAGATGCTTTGGCTCCTCCCATCAATCCTTCCATGAGTGCCCACTATTAGTGGGTTAAGTTCAGTTTTGTGGGGG